TACCCAAACTTTAAAACTAATCGGGTGGGAAGGGCAGCCACATTTCTATTCAGGCAGTGCTGAGAGAGACAACTAAATTCATGGTTCATTGTTACCTCCCTGGTTCCTGTCAATCTCTCTCCACTCCACAGCTGTTAATGACCCGCTATTTTTTTTAATGGTTTTGATGTTCCACTATTCAAAGTATCCTTTCTTTTGCAATTTGGCTGTCTGTTAGCCATTCCTAGTAATGCCTCTTCTTTATTTCACAGCCCTGCAAATTGTTTTTTAGATCTAGCTAAAAACCTTAACTTCAGTGTGGTAATATTCACTCAGGTATAGAAATGACTGACAGTGAAGAACTGGAGGCAGTCAAGACACTCAAGAAGCCTAGATTTTATTTTATGAATCTGAATAAGAGATGCACATTTAACTATAAAGGCTACAGGACTAATGAAACAATATCTTTTGACTATTTTTGCCTAGTTGTGGTTTTTTAAAACATTATGTACAGTCTAGCAAGTTAGTGCATGTTCCATTAGTTATATCTGTATAGCACTATCCCCCTAGCATATTAGTGAAACATCTAGTTTCTCTTTAATGGAGGAAAAATAGGAGGTGTGCCACACTACCTGCACTCTCTTTTTCAAAATCTTAGATCCATCCAGGTCTGTAGATCTAAGACCTAGTCTAGGGATTGTCAGAATGGTATTCCAGAAATATCTGTTATATAGTAGACCTTTGTGCATTAGGGAAAATGATGGTGCAGATGTGATTTACATGCCTTCCAAAAAAGCCATAAAAGATTGCTCTATAGGGTTGCTAAGGATAGTATATGAGGTGTATTGCTTAAACAGCATTCTTTTGAAATAAGACCCTATAAAAATGGCACCTCCTTTATTCACCCTTATTCATAGTCATCTCCTCGGTGATACAATAAAAATCCATTACTTTTAGAATACAAAAATTACAATACAGAAATCCTCTACTCCTGCAAATCCCATGGCACTAAAACAGCTATAGGGGAGCGAGCTGGATTTTGTTCAGGGCCTCACAGAGTTGCTGGGCCAATTTCCCCAAATTGTTATAGCGGTGGGCAGAACTCGGTTTGTAAAATGGTCAACCCAGCTTGATTTTTTCAGATGCCAAGAGGAGTTTATACTATGGGATTTTAGAAGAAATATCTTTTTTTACCTGTAAACTGAACAAGTTTACGTGAGGAGTCAATAAAAGACAGTAAGAGTTGGAACCCAGCAATGCCATTCTTGCAGTCATTTTACAGAACAGCAGTGGTTTAAACCTGAAAAACTGAATGACCCTCTACCTCAGTGATTTTCTACTTTTTTACACTCAAGATACCTCTCAGTAGACTCAGAGCAGTCCTTGGAAAATGTCAGCACTTAGCTTTTACTCATTTTTTGGCTACGGAAAGATACTAGAGCAATTCTTCTGTTGCTAAGAATTCAGAAAGATCACAGCAGCTTGGAATGCTTTTGATGTATGGATTTCTATTTGAAACACCTGGGTTTTTCTTGTGAATCATGCATAGGTGTTTGTATAAATATCAGTACTAATACTGGATGGTACTATGCAACTAGCCACTTAGAAGAGATGCGAATGAGCTTCACATTATCTTTGGCCAGAATAATGACTATAATGCAAGGTTTCAATTTGTTTGTGGAGCTTCAAAATATGGACAATTGAATATGGGAGGGGAGGAGAATCTGCAGGACAGTAACATGGTCTGTAAGGCTACAGGGAAAACTGAAGATGCTAAATATTTAGACTGAAAAGCAAGTGGGGAATGCAACCAGTTTTTGTATTAGATTTGTTTTATTGTTGAAGAAAAGACAGTGACAGCAAGGCAGAATCACTCCCTGCTCATCATTTTTAATATTTTTTGTAGTGTTTCCATTTTTCTGTTTATCAGGCCCTTTTTGTAAAGGTTGTGTACTATCATCCTCAAATGCCTTGTTTTCATAGTGTGATTTCCAGAGGTGCTGAAAGTCCCTAGTGCTTGGTGGGAGCTGCAGATTCTGATCACACATCTGGAAATCAGGCCCTTTGTCTCCAACACCATGTTTACAGCTTCCCCTCTGAACTCTATGAACTGTGTTTTCATATTCTCTTCTGCACTGACAAATCAACTTGGGAAATTTTGCTGAGTCACGGTTTGCAGAACTGACGCCCCGATAGATTTTTTTCATGCAGGGAGGCTCACTTTAAAGCAATTTTGGACTTGCAGCAGTATGGTTTTGAAAGTAAACATTTTTTAATTATAGATGTTTGAAAGCCTGTTAATTAATGCTAAAAATGGAAAGGATTTATATCCTGCTACTCTGATTAATTACAAAATCTATGGTGTATGTTTGAACCTCAACATTTGTTATGGATACCAATAAAATAGTATAATATTTCTCTCTCAATTAGAGGCAGGTTAGAGGACTTTTAAACACTTATTTGTGTCTAAGCATGAGAGGCAGTTTGGTCCAGTGGGATCTCCTGGGAAGGAGGGAGTGTGGAGTACTCATGTAGGTTCTACCATGCTAGGGACAGATATTGAAAGAGCATGAGCCTGAATTGATTCAATCTTTGCAGGTTAGTCTAACCTGCCTAGGTAAAACTGATTTGCAAGTGCACAGACATTCCCTCTGGACTGAAAAAATGCAGACACATACCTACAGTGACTCAGGCTAGAAGATGGGGGGTGCTAGAGTAGCCCTCCATTCCCTTCCATAGTGCTGAGCTGGGGGGTGTGGCCAGGCCCAGCAGGACACTGTGATTAGGGAGGGAATTACACCCCCACCCTGCCTGCACAGTCTTAGGCTTTTCCCCACTCGCTGCTCAAGGGGCAGGAGTGTTGCCAGCCCCCAGTCACCAGCTAGCAAAGTGGGGAGGGGGTGAGGGAGGGAGGACTGCTTGTGTGCAGTGCATGCATCTGTTGATGATACTGAGCTTTTCAATATCCCTCTCCCTGCTTCTTCATATTGTCTGCAGCAAGCCTGACAGGCGAGGGAGCCAGCAGGGAGCTGATAACAGCATTTAGCAGCTCATCAAAAAAACAAAAGCCCTCTCTCATTAGTTCAGCCTCTTCTTAAACAGCTTTTTCCAAGGAAGGAACAGAGGGACATTACCAGCTGACCTGTTGATTAGCAGACACTGTCCTGTCCCAGTGAAATTGGAGACACACACACACAGACACCTCTCAGCACTAGCTAGCATACCAAATGCTGGCTGGGGTCTGTGCTGTGGGAGATCCGAGGAAGGAAAGGAGGGATCCCTGCTTGAGCAGTGAGTGGCAAGGAGGGAGTGAGGCAGGGAGAAGCCAGGCAGACCCTGCTGTGCCTGCAGTCTCTGCTGGAGCTCTGGCTAGGGAGCAGAGGGGTGGGGCCAGCCCTGCTCTCTGGAGCAGACGTTCCAGCCCAGCCCAGCCCAGCCCAGCCCAGAGCTGCTAAGCATCTGGGATGCTGGGGGAGTCTCGTTTAACTTAAACCAGGAAGGGGTCTGGGACAGACAGTGCATAAACCGGTTTGACCCAAATCAGTTAAGTCTGATACTACATTCAACCAGGTTTATCTTAAACCAGTTTCAGCCATTTTGAAACTGTTTTATGTGTACTGAACTTATGTTCTTTTACAGGTTTAAACCAGTTTCTGATCAGTTACACTGGTTTATATGTAATGTCTGTCCCTAGCCACTGACTGTTGGTACTGAGTCAGTCACTTAATCACCACCTCAGTTGCCCCAAATATCCTGTTGTAAAATGGGACTCTTAATATTTATCTCATATGAGTATTGTGGATATTAATTAGTAAGGGTCAGATCCTGAAGCAGTATATGCTGGTGCAGATGCACTCAAGTTGAGGAAGCTAAGATGATTGATGTCACCAGAGGATTTGGACTTGCATTTCTAAACGTATCACAAGTTAATTACAGCTGTGGAACTAGATTGACCTCTTTCCTAACCATACTCTGCAGTTGAAAAACTAGAGGGAAAG